CACCATTGGATCAGAGAAAAATTAGGAGCCCAGAAAAAGTAAATGGTCTATTCAATTTGGAAGCAAGAGAAAAAATGAGCTACAAAGCAAATAATATGGACTGAAGGGTTGGAGGACCTCGGTTCAGGTCCTGGCTCTGCTGTCAGGTCAGGGCGTGAGGACACCAAAGCCTGCCCCCTCTCTGGGGCTCATTTGCCACATCTGGAAATGAAAGATTAGATTTGAATAGAGAGCCTTGAGCAGCAGACAGGCTCTGCCAGTCAAGGCGGTACCTGGAGGGACATGTAGGCTGGCCACACCCCTCCCTGCCTTCCCGGGGACTCTGGCTCTCGGCCACTTTGCCAGCTTCAGAGCAAAGGTGAGGTTCCTAAGAAACCACAAAGGGCCTCTGCCCACGCACCCCCCCCCCCCCCCACTCCTCCTCTTCCTCCTCCAGCAAGGGCCAGGATCCCGGGACCAGACAGCCCCTCCTACAGTCTCCTCACAGCGCTCCGCCTCCTCCTCCAGCTGAATCTTCTCCTTATCCATTTCCTAAAGATCATCACGGAGGCTCCACAACCTTCCCTTTTTAACAACTCTTGCTGACGGAAAATTCTTCCTCATACCTAATCTAAGTCCATCTGCTGCAATTTCTGTCTATTTTCTCTCGTTCAATCCTACTGGAGATGGAGAACAGCTGGTCGCCATCCTCCATCCAGCATCCCCTCCTAAACCAAAATCAGTTATTACATCACCCCTCAGCCTGTTTTTCCTGTGGCAGAGCAGCCACCATCCCTCTGACCTGACCTCATGGATTCCAGCTCTGACAGCGTCCCTGGGTGCTGTGGCCCGCATTAGAGCCCACGCCTCAAGCTCCAAGTCCCTCAGAAGCTCCACCATCCCCAGATGGATGTAGGATTCCAGCAGCAACATCCAGAGAGAACGACAGCGCAGAAAGGGGATCCGTGAGAACGTCCGAGCCCCCAGCTCTATATATGAAGAAACTTGAGGTCAGAACAGGCAAAGTAGGTGCAGTGCCCAAGGTCACGGCTGAGGGATCTGGTTCCGAGTGCTAGACGCCCAATATCGCCAGCGCAACCCCCCGAGTGGCTGCAGCATGTCCTTGACCAGGTGAGAGCAGGACCAGCCTTCACTGAAAAACAAAGGTCCACAACTGCCCAGACACTCCCCACCCAAACGCCACCTTCTGAACCCCGAGGCAGATGACTGTGACTCCACTGTGAACAGCTTTAACTTACATTAAGAACTCAAACACTTCTGTCGGTGGCAACACTCTTCACTATTTACACCTTAGTAAGAATAAGGAGATTTGATCCTTTCTAGCTCTGGAGAGAGAGATTTAAGGGTCAGAACGGAACAAAGAACAAAGGGACTGGGAGAATGACAGGTGCATTTCAGGGCTGGCTAATGTGTCCAAGGTCAGTCCTACGCGTGGGGCTGAGGGTAGGGGGCATCAGGACAGCGGAGCAGCAGGGGTCCTGCTGGTAGAGTCCCTAGGTATCTAACAGGCCTGCGTTCAGAACCCTCCCCCCTGGCTCTCTCATGAGGGGTACCCCCCAGGCACTCTGGGGAGGTCTGCATGGAACAGAACATGGTGAAGCATTGCCTCACAGCTCCTGCAGGGCAACTCCATAGGCATCCCAGAATTCTTGACTCCCCTTGGCTAACCATTCTAGAAGTGAGGTAAGCAGGGTGTTGAAAATTAAATCTCAACCTCTAGGCTGCCCTTAAGTGACAGGAAGGAAGAATCAGAAGGGAAGGAAGAAGGAGAGGCATATATCAGATTAAGTAAGATCGTTCAGTGTGCAATAGACCCAAGTGTGGAGGGAGGAAGGGGGCGTGTGTGTGTAAAAAAAAGTGAGTCCAGTGAAGTATTTATTAATAATTTGAGCTGTGAAATTTTCCCAAGAGTGAAGGGGGAAAATAACCCTGTGTGGTGAGGACATTTCAGGGCCTAGATTTCAAAACAGCTTTCACCCTGTGATGGAAAAAGAAGCACCATGCTCCAATCTCTTCACCTTTCAGGTGTGAGGGGGATACTCCAGACTATTTCAAACCTCCAGACACACACCCCCAGAACAACTGGGGAGTTCAAGCATTCACTCAAGAGAAAAAAGAAGACATCTCAACAGGACTCACAAAAACACCTAACACAATAAACGTGCTTATTTGATTTCCCCAAAAACCACAAAATTAAATTTTAAAATAGAAGGACTAAAAGGCTCTTCTCAGATAAAAATATTCATATGTTTTGAACCCTATTTTCAGGGGACAGTTTTCTTTAACAGCAAAATTGGCACAAAATGATGAGATCAAAGTAGGTTGGTGAAGAGATTATTTACTGAAGTGTTTATGATGAGAAGAGATGACAAGAAAGAGAACAGAAAAGTAAGGAAGGGACTTTTACTTGCCAGGTAAGTCACCCAGGGCTTGTGAAAACAGAGACAGGCAACCCCCACTCAGCACAGTAGTTAAAAGAGAGAAAGCCTAGTTGCCCAACTGGGGAGAGGAGAAAATGCTAGATCTACGGCTGGTGCTTGCCAGGGTTCTGGCGAAAGCTACCATGTTCCGTGAAATGACGAATAACAAATTTAATTTTCCGAGCACCAATCAGTCCCTTCACACACAAACAGGCACCATGCTTCACAAAGAACCAATCAGCCTAACACCAGAGATTGAATTCTCCAAAGTGGATCCCAGCGGCGGGGCTGGATCCTGGATCTCATGCCCCATCCAAGGTGAAGTTGCACTGGTGGTGTTTTGCATTTCATCAATTATTCTTCAGCTCCCATTATGCTTTTTTTAGTCTAGAGTTGTTATTTTAACGATCTTTGTTCCAAATGAGGAACTACAAGGAAGAGGAATGAGGAGGAGGGAGAAGACAAGGCAAGGGTTCCTCGCGTGTCCCACTTGCACTTCCCAACGCTCTCTCTGCTCCCTCCCCCCACCCTGCCTTTTTCCTCTCCAGGGCATGAGTCACTATTCAGGAGCTGGTTTAAAAGCTTTACTTTGAATGTCCTCTATCATGATAGAAATCTAGCGGATCAGCATCAATTGAAAGGACCCTCAATTTTCGCTACCAGTTTTTTGGTTCGAGGCACCTCTGAAACTCAAAATCATTTTCTAGTTTTGTTACCGCCTTCTAGAAAACCGAAGTGCCCCCTCTCACACTCCCCTCCACCTGCTGGGTGCCACCTCTCCTGAGCTCTCTGGAGGTCCCATGCCCTAGACAGACCACAGGGGAGAAGGTGTGTGGCCAAATTCACCCCAACAGCAGACAAAAGCTCCATGTCCACTCCAGGCTCCCAAACAAAAAGACATAATTTGCAGGGCTGCAAGTTTGTTCTGTTTACTGTCAGACAACATGTGCAGAAGAGAAAGCTGACTGTATCCTGACCGAAAAAAAACAAACAAAAAAAAAGTGAGGCAGCTGTTTTTTTAATCATTGTGAGTAGATCTTCAACAATAAGGACTCCCCCCCAAATAGCTTCCTAAAGGAGGTGGAGGACCTGTTGTGGCCGTTAAAGGAGAGAATTAAAAGCTGAAAGTGGTTTGTGGAGCCAGAGAAGGGTGCCTGTCATCCGCATCTCAGCAGGAAGGGTGTCCTAGGGACAAGGGGTTGCTGGAGGATGTCTCTCCCAGGATATTCACTTCTTGCCAGGACTGGGACTTAAACTCCCCAGCTTCAGGACTAGGATAGAAATCAGGGTGAGGCGATTCACCTGACTTCCCTCAAAGCCCCGGGGGCTTGTAAGATGAGTCCTGGACTGACAGCCCCAGAGCATCCAGCAGGTTTAGAGGCACACCTGGTGAAGGGCTATAAGAGCTGCCTGCGCCAAAGCTGGCAGGAAGTTCAAGACCAAGCACATCACCTTTCTCTCCATGGGGACCTCGCTTCCTAGGACGCCTAGCTAACACCTCCCATTTGCAGAAGCTCCAGGAAAGGAGTTTTCCCCAGATCCAAAAGTGGGTCTCAGAGCAAGTAAGGCCCTTGTGGTCCTGCAATTTAGAATGCATAAGGGTGTTTCGAGGCTGAACCAGCTGCTGACCATGGCGAGCTTTTTGCTTGAAGAGCAATGATCGGAAATGGTGTTGGATGGAGGTTCCTGCACCCTCTGGGGCACAGATGTACCTGCACACTTAAACAGAGGCAGCCCCCAGAAGTCTGCCCTCCACCTCTTACAATCACTGGTGTGTTCTGCCCTGGACAGCCCTTCTCTGATAAGGGTATAACCTTCACAGGGGATACCATTTAGCTCCGTCCCCTTTATTTCAGGACACACCAAGCCCGGACAGTCTTCCAGTTTTCAGGAGCTAATCAATTAAGTAATTTCTTTTCCTCTGAGAACTGTTCCGTCGGTTTCTCACCAAGTTGGGTGGCACATAAATGCCCATCAGGTCAAACAGGACAGCCGCCCACACCCCGGGGAAATTTCTTTTCCCACCAAGAAAAAAAAAAAAAAAAAAAAAAAAAGAACGGAGACAGAGTGGGCAAAAGGATAGGAGGGAGGAAGGAAACAGAAGTTTGGGGAAGGACTCAAGTTGAAGGTCACATAGTTGGGGGAAGGCAGGTCAAGGTAATGGAAAGGGGGCAGACCCTCTGGCAGAAAACCCCACTAACCAACTATTTCTCAACATCAGCCTCCCAGTGCTGGGTTTGCCAGGGAGTAGCACATCCAGGGGTCCAACTGCCTTCACCCAACAAACCCGAATTTACACCCCAACCGTGCAGTCACCCGAGCCCCAGCCCAGACCTATTTCCACAGACCTGAGTGCAGCGAATTGAGAGAGGAGTAAACAAAGCCAGTTTAGACAGCGCAGAAGTTTTCTAAATTGTCAGCTTGTTTTCATCCCAACAAAAGATGGTGAATTCCCACCTTTGTCGCGTTCTCTCCCCTAAACTTTTCTTTCTGCAATCCCTCTACATCTGCTACCCTGCCAAGCCGCTGAGAATGGCCCCGCCGGGGGAGCAGCACCCCCCGGGACGCAGGCAGGAGTACCTTTTCCGCGGAGCGGAGGGACGGGTGTCCAGAGGCTCGCTGCCCTGCCGAGCCGTGGAAGGATGCTGTCGGGATGGAGCACGCTGACGATTACGCGTCCCTGCCTCTGCGACCAGACCTTTCGGCAGCTCGGCCCAACTGTGCTAGCGATGCACTTAGCAATTATCTGCTGGCGCTGACGCCCCGCCCTCTGCTCCTGCGATTGGCTCTCGAGTCCCGGGCAGGACTGCATTGGTTTCAGCAGACCTCACTCATTGCTTTGGCTCCTACTATTATCTAAGCCATCAAAGGAAATAATTCCATGTTTCATTGACAACCTGTAAGGCTCTCCTCGGGGCCCGGGGTGGGGGCAGGACTGGGAGTCCAGTGGAGGGAGGAGGGGAGAGTAGAAAAAGTGGGGGTGGAGGGGAGGAGGGAGAAGAGAGCTCTCGAGAAGGGGTGGGGGGGTGAGAGAGAGAGAGGGAGAGATGGAGCTATCAAGCAATCAGATTCTTGCTCCAGCATTTTAACTTCCACAAAACAGAGCCCATAGCAACAATTTTCTGGCCTTATTTTTCCCCCAACTGGTGAATGTTCCTGAGGGCAGAGAGAAATAGAACAGTGGGGTTTCTGCCTGTGTCAGGCTCTGGAAAGCAGAGCAAGGTAAGAGCTGAAGGAATATAGTGATGTTTTTCCCGGGGCCACCCTGGAGGGCATGTGAAGGTCATTTTAGATTATTTAGGGGAACATATTAAGCGCCTTCACTGGACTTTGTCCATCAATTCCTTCCCTCACGGTCCCCCTAAATCCCCAAAGGAAGACAATTTCCCTTTGCAGCCGATTCAGAGTCTCAGAAGAGCTGTTCTCCAAGTCAGTGAGAGTCTGGAATTCCTCACTGTTCTCGCTGGGAGGTCCAGAGAGACAGGCATTCCAGAGCTCACCATTCTGTTGAACCCTCACTTTTGCTTTTTCTGACCTGGCTTCAATTAATGGTTTAGATTTATGTCATCAGCCAAAGCAAGGGGAGAGAGGAGAAAGAACTCAAGGGGTGGGGACAGCCTAAACGCTTTCTCTTGTTCAACAAAAATTCATAAACCTCAAGTTTTGGCCTATATTTCCTTTAATGTATTTTTTCCACCATAGGCAAAGGACATTATTTGGTAGATGAATATTTTTAAGAAGAAAAAAAGAATTTAAAAGGATCTTTTCAAGAAAGCTCTTAGAGTGTCAAGTTTCAGATTATTAGAAACTAACCCTTCACCATTCTGGGATCTGTACATCTCTGAGCCTAGGCTATAGTTTCAGTTCCTCCCCCCACGGCCTGGAAGCAAAGTGACCCTTATCACCATCTGCATCCTCAGAAGCAAATGGCATGAGCCACCCCGCGCCCCCCCCCACCTTGTCCAGTGAGCTTCTGCTTCGTGCGTACATACCAGGCTTCCTTAAATACATTACCAGCCCCGCAAGGACAGAGACAGCATCATGTGTATCTTCATAACAACACAGACAGCACCTAACACCCAGTGAGTGGGATGACTAATAAAACCCAATTCAAAACAAAAAGTGTGCATGGCCCTATGCCTCGTGGAGTAATCATGGCACCGTGAGCCCTCATCCAGCGGGGGCAGGGGAGGTGGGGGCCCAGCCTGGAGTCCAGGAGGAAAAAATTCTGGACTGACTTGTGACAACTGCAGCTAGGAAGTCCCTCCCAGCGTTCAGGGCCTCTGTTCTCTCTAGAAAATGAGGCAGCTCTTCATCAATGCCTTCCTTCTCCCTCAAGCATCGGAAGGAAATGAGATGTGGGATGCACATTTTATTTGTGAGACCTATACCACCCAAAATTAAGTCCTTTCCATAACAGCTTTCTGAATATCAGTAGAGCTCAAAGGAGAGTGACTGTCTATTAAAAATAAAAAACTAGGACGGGATGTGGCAAAATATTTGTTTTCCATTTTATTCACTCGTCTAGGTGAAATTCTTACAAAGAGGCAGTGATGAAATTAAACTTAGCTATTCATTTAAAATTGACACTGCCCCAGAAAATCTGGCATGTTCGGTCATGGTGTAAAAACCATAAATAACACCTTTATGATTTAAGCAGTAAGATTTCCACATCCAAGAGAAAGCAGGCTTCGGCTTTGTTCCCTCACACTATCCCTCTGTTCCCTGTAAAACAAATAAATAAATAAGTAAATACGAGAAATAAACTCTATTATAAGAACTCTCTTGAGCATCTCTCAAAAGTTCAGTTGTCCTTTAAGGAAAAGGAAAACATTTCAAGTGATTTTCTAAAATGCTTCGTCTAAAACAGCTTGTCCTTACATGTACTATTTGCCTTTTGAAGATGAGAGAGAGAGAGCTGCAAACAGTTGTTTATGTCAGTGCCTTTTAAACTGCCTGGTCATAAAATATTCTCTTTGAGAGAAGGATGATCCCTTTGTGTCCCATAGATCAACCGCTTAATTCTGAGAGTTCGAGAACGCATATTAAATATGCAGATTCCACTGGCACTTGCATTTGTATTAAATATCAGCTTCATACAATTTAAATGCACTGGGGTATGAAATGTACCAAATTCCATTTGAGCGGCCAGGGCCCCGGCAGAGTAGCCCGTTTTGACATGACAATTTCAGCGCATTAGCGGTCCGTGAGGCTCTGGAGGGTTTGTGTTCCACTTTGAGACATTCAGGCCGGAGTGTGGGTTTCTTTATTAAAACGCAAACGAAACAGCAGCCCCTGGAACCAGCATCTTTCTTGCGGGTTAACCACTTGCTAGAACAAATCACCCTGACATTCCGTCGGAAGCTGGGGAAGCCCTGCGTTGATGCTTCTGTTTATACCATTTTCTCAGTTATCATTTATTTATGCCGAATCCTGTTCCTAAAAGGGAGAAGAGGAGAATAAATCTAGGCAGTGCCAAGAAAGAAGGAAATGTGTGAAAACATGAGGGGGGGGAAAAAAGAGGGTGACATTCAACACTACATCTTTGCTAATCAAGTTGAGCCACACAACACCGTTTTGGTGAAAACATGATATTAGTAGGATTTCTTCAAGCCAGCATTGGATGAAGGGAAGGTTTTTCAGAAAACTTCTCCCAGCACAGCTCCCTAAGTAGAGAAACTTGGAGGAACATGCTCACAGCTTTCCCTTCCTGCTGATGGCTGTTGTGAAACTTTATGTAATCTAATTCCCTCTCCCTCCACCCGCCCACTCCACCCCCCAAATCAAACCTGTGGAGCCAGTGACATTTCCACTAAGTACGAGAGGGGATTGTGGTTGCCAGGAACGTGTCAGTCACCATGAACCCGTCTTAATGATTTCATTAATTACTAATGAGTCTTCAGAAAGTTGGTATTAAAATAGACAGGGCTTCATGAGGCTCGAAGACCATGAGGAATCTTTTATTATTTAAAACACCCTGCTAAATAAAAGCAAGTGATTCTGATGGTTCAAGGCATGGTTGTATTTATTAGTGAGCCAGAGTTGTAAATAACCTGCAGGAAAGAGCGAGAAAGACAGAGACAGCCAGAGATTTGCAAGATTAAATTGACCACCTGAATTCTGTTTTGCTTCAGTTAAATTCTTCTTAAGAAATATGGAGCTAAAAGCTGTCATTAAATATTGTCCCTCAGTGCACCCAATGACAGAAGTTGGAGAAGTGAATTAAGAAGGTCAGCATGCCTTCCTGAGGCAGGTTGATCACATGTGGCGTGAAGGCCCCTTCTAGAATTCAGGTCCGCACACGGTCGTGTTAACTGCAAGAACCCATGTCTTAACATAGAAGTCTTCTTCAGAGATCCCTTGGACATGTTCACAATTCCAGCCACGTGTCATTTTCCCTTTTATAAATCAAAGTAAGAATAATTATTTAGAAGGCTGTTGGGAGAATGATGGCAAACCAAGCCACAAAAGATTACAGAAATGTCTTGCCACTTGATAGTAAGCAGTGAGGTCTTGGCGTGGGCCGCTGTGAATGTGATGCAGAACCACTTTGCTCCACTGGTCCAGGATGTCAGATCAGCTCTTGGAGTGGGACCAGAAGATGCTCAGAGGGGCAGAAAATATGCTCCAGGCCCAGGGCACAGCTTTGGGCAATGACGTTTCGTTTCCTCTTGCCTAAGGAAATTCTCAAACTGCTCCATCCGTGTACAGCAAGTGGAAGAAAATACCTAGGGTAGAAAGTTGTCATCTGGGTGATCTGCTACAAGCCAAAATTTTTTTTTAAGTATGCATATTTTATTATTAAAGTAGTGCCAATTTTGTGTTCCACTCCAAATTAGATCCACATTTGTTTTAGTGCATGGGTTAAAGAATGATTTGCCCCAGGGGCGCCTGGGTGGCTCAGTGGGTTAAGCATCTGCCTTCAGCTCAGGTCATCATCCCAGGGTCCTGGGATGGAGCCCCACATCGGGCTCCTTGCTCAGTTGGGAGCCTGCTTCTCCCTCTCCCTCTGCCCCTCTCCCCTGCTCATGTTCTCTTGAACGAACGAACTCTCTCTAATATAAATACAATAAAATCTTAAAAAAAAAAGAAGGAGGAGGAGGAGGAAGAGAAGAAGAAAGAGGAGGAGGAGAAAAAGGAGAAGAAGAAGAGAGATTTGTCCTAAGTATTTGTTACACTGAGTTTCCAGGAAGATGCTTCATACCTGTGAGAAGCCTGGGGCTTGAGAAACACAGGACTTAAGTTCCTGACCTCCCCTCTCTCTGGTTTCTGAAGTTAGATGACACCTGGCTGCATCCCACCTGTCTAAGCTTTTCCACCCTCATCCTCATGTAACCCCGTCCCTTCACAGTGCTCCTTCTGGCCTCCTGATCGTCCCCTGTCTGCTCCTCCCACTCCACCATCTCCTAAGGATACCACAGCCAGACTTCAAGAGCCAGGCACATCCCTCCTTCCCTCAGACTCCTGTCTGCTTGGCTCTTTCAATTTCCCTTTCTGGGCTACTCTCCAGAAAACAGGTGCTGGTTTCCTCTGTAACAACTTCCAGAACACCAGCTTCCCTTGGTTTCTCCCCACCAAGACCCTCATCAGTTTGCTGGTAGAGCTCTGAGCCTTTTATCCTCTGTCCTGAAAGGCTCTGACTGCTCTTAAAAGGAAGCCAGTAAGATCCCCTCAGGTTTCCCTTAGCCACCACCCCACCACA